TGGGGCACAGTAGAGGGCACATGTGATTCATGAAAAGCGAGGAATTAGGAGACATTTACAAAGCTAAGAACTTTGGGGTCTTCTTTCAGGACACTGGCTGCTCCTCTACACTCTGGACTAAAGACTAGAAGATCCTTCTGTAGGGAATTTCAACAGCCCAGGAGAAAGACCAAAATAACACTTGCATGGGAGTTCCCCAGAGAAACAATCCAGCTGGCTCACCCTACACCTAAAACCCAATATACATACTAAAAGTATACACTTAGTCTTTTGGTGTTCACTCAGAGTACCTTCAAATACTAAGAGGGATCAAAAGACAACTAAGGAAAACAGAAGAAAAACAAGTACATTGGGGTTGGGGGACTACTGACACTACACAAGAAAAAAATGCCCAAATTATCCTTTGTTAATGTATGCGTGAGATAAGGCCAGGACTTATATTAACAAACTAAATGGGACATTCAGAGAATAAATAAGTGCTCATGGAAATTAATATAGAAGAAATGAAAAACTTATTGAAGGCTTGAGAAATAAAGTAAAGGAAATACACCAGAAAGTTTAGCAAAAATATAAACAGATATAAAATAAGAGAAAATAAAAGAAATGTTGGTTAGTAGAAAAATTCTACTATAAAAAAGGGCTTCCTATCCCCCAAAATCAAGGCTGAATGTTCTCTCTGATACGTGGATGCTAACTCACCATAAAAGGTGCTCGGGTCGGGGGGGTGAGGTTATGTGCAGAGGGAAGAATAGAAATTTAGTGGATTAGACAAAAGGGAATGAAAGGAACGGAGAGGGGCTTGGAATAGTAAAGACAGTAGAATGAATCAGACGTAACTTTCCTATGTATGTACAACCAATGTAATTTCACATCATGTACAACCACAAAAATGGGAAATTACAGTCCATGTACATATGATATGTAAAAATACATTCTTCAAGTTGTGTATAACTAAAAAGAACAAATAAAAATTACAAAATAAATATAATAGGGCTTCCAGAAATTACTGAGAAAAGAAATCATCAATGAGATAATTTAAGAAAATTGTCCAGCATTAGAGAACCAGTTTCAAGGATAAAAAGGGTCTGCTAAGTATCCAGCATAATGAATGAAAAATGACCAACACAAAGGTACATCACAGAAATTTCAGAACACGTGGAACAAAATCTCATAAGTTTCGAGACAAATGCTAGGTCACATACAAAGGATCAGGAATCCTAAAGATTTCAGAAGACTCATCAGCAACATAGAAATAAGAACTCATTGACACAATGTCTCCAAAATAAAGTTATTCTAATAAGAATTCTTTACCTAGCCAAACAATAAAGTGTGATGATAGAATACTGGCATTTCAAACATGCAAGATCTCAAAAGTGTACTTTTGAATACTCACATTTTTTTCTGCAAAGCAAATAGAAGATATAATGGGGGGGAGTGTTAGAAGGGGCATAAACTAAGAAAGAAACAAGAGGGAAAAAATGTGATTCACACTCAGGAATCAGGGTATCTAACACGGAGAAAGGCAAAGGGAGATACCATAATGATAGTATTCTTAAAGCACTGAGGGCAACTGGTCCTAATTAGAACAAGTCAGAGAGTTCTACAAGATATTTAAGAAGATGAAATTGATAGGACTGCTCTATCTGAATGCATGGAGAAATATATTTATTGACAGAGAATTTGGGGTTGAACCAGTGACAAGTATAGCCATGTATTGCTTGTTGGGGATATATTCTGAGATATGCATCATTAGATGTATTATTTATACAAATCTAAGTGGCATAGCCTAGTAACACTTAAGACTATAGGGCACATACACAGCACTGTTTCTGCAGTCTGTCATTGACTGAAACATCATTATACAGTGCATGACTGCATATAAAATACCAAGTAAACAAATCATCAAAATGATAATGATCAACTCCAGCAAAAAGAAAGTTATGCAAAAAGGGTAAAATAATAATAAAAGTATACACAATTCATTGTGAATAAGGTTTACACTAAATATTAATCCAAATTTTGATATACAAAGAGGAGAGAAGATTAGGAAATGTGTGTGTATGTGTGTGTGTGTGTGTGTGTGTGTGTGTGTGTAGGGGAGAGGAGGGGAGAGTTAGAGGACACTAAATTCTCATCATCTTCAGTGAGAAGTCAATAGTAAGCATAAAAAAGAAAAACCAAGAAGTACCAATTTAAGTATGATATTAAGACATATGGACTTTAATATTCAATAATAAGATAAAGAGTTGAAAATACTTGGCTCTGAGAGAAGGAAACTGAAGTGATGTGGGTAGGGAATAGGGGAGGTACTTAAGAGTTTTTTAAATAAACCCTATAAAATATTTTATTTTTAGCCACATGTATAATTTTGATTTTTAAAAAATCAGGAAAGGGAGGGAAGAAAGAAAATAAAGGGAAAGAGAGCAGGAGGAGAGGAAAATTTTAGAGACATAGAGATCAACATTAGATATAACCTAATAGATTGAATTGTGGGTTTTTATAGAAAATGAAAATCAAAGTCCAAAATATTGGAAAAAAATCTATAAGCTTTAAATAAATATAGACCCTCCCTTTATATATGTATATACATACATATAAAATATATAATACATACATTTAATCTGGGTTTTAAACTGTAAATCCATAGCCAAATGACAGCATGCAAGATGTGTATCATGTTATTTAAGTTCCCATTCTTGTACTGTTTGTAAGGGAGGGATGACACCATTGTACTACTCCTTTCTTTCCTATCCTCCAACCTCCTATGGGTCTGCTTATTCTCTATTAGCTTAAGCCAGTATCATCCTCCCAAACTGGTCCACCTGCTTCTCTACTCTGCCATTTTCAATCATATTCATCTTTCTATCATGCAGGCAAGATGATCTTTCTAAATTCAAAGTCAATCAGACCATTTCCTTGCTGAAAATACTGCCATAGCTCCCACTTCCTTTAGGTCAAGTGTGAACTCTTCAACCTGGCCTCCAAAGCTTCATAACGTGGCTTCTTGAGCCTCATTTCTTAACATTTCCAAGGTCTTTCCCATACTCCACTCTCTTTAAGCTCTGGACAGTTACACTGAAGTCTGCACATCTTTGAATTCACTTTTGCATTGCTTTTCCCTTTATTCTACAAGTTCTCCAACAAAACATTTTATGCAAAATTATGTGTGTGTTTCTGTTATGCACACACAAAAGCACAAGCATAAAAACTTACAAATAATGTTAATAGAATATATAAGTTCATTTCACCCCAATTTTGGACCTAATTTAAGAAACCCTTTGTTAAGGTATAAGTAGGCTCACAGCAGAATTTCTGCATACAAAGTATATGTGAGGCACACATAAATATTAACTGTTTTTCATGCCACCAGAATGTCCTGTGCTGTGCTTTGTCCCAAAGAAAGTTAACTAAATTATCTGAAAGTTGGTTTCCCTGGAAATGGGTTACTCTAGTGAAAAACATCCCCTCACTGTTCTGAAAACAGCAGGATCCTAGAATGTGAATAGTTCTGCCTCATAAGAATGCCTGAGCATGCAGTTATAGAAAAAAAAAAAACTTAAAAAAATTTGGATGATATTAGATGAACAGCTGTGTAGAAGGGGGAAAGTAAAAATAAAAACTGCATGTTGGAGCATCAAAATAGTAACCATGTACAGTATATGACTGTTTTTAATCAGATGAAGATTGAAGCTATTACATTTCAAATCAAATGTTATAAATTAGTTCAAGAATGCAGCTGAGCTCTCATTTAATTAGAAATGTCCATGTTTAAATCATGAGGTACAGTAGCTGCCAATGAAGCAAAAGGGCAAGGGAAGGGAGAAATACTGTGTCCAGACCCTCTGGTTCTCCACCGTCTCCTACACACAGCAGAAACATCTGGGGGGAAGGGGGGACTAGTCCTGATGTAAGGAAGAACTTCATGTACTAGCTAATTTGAGAGTTAATGTAATTGCCTATAATTGTTTTGAAGACAATTAAAATCATTATTCTGGTCTGGACAATTCTAAGCTCTTCGTTTCTGTGTGAAACATATTTTCTTCCATGCTGAATTTTAACTCTTTCTTGGATCAAAAGTAAAGCAAATTTGGGGCCAAGATTTGCTTGGGAAAATCACTGCTTAGCTGTCAGGTCACATTAAAAAACAGCACCACAGTGAGGTTGTCCCTTTGGAAACAAGTCTCCTTTCCTATTTCTGGGATTTGATGTAGCTCAGCTGAAGTCCAAATCGACATCCCAAATGTTAGACAATTTACTATTAAATAAAAATAAGAAAACATCATAGAGGGATTTTTGAGGTCATACAGAGAAGAATGCAATTATCCTTAGGCGGGCTTTTCCCCAAAGGTTATGAGCCTCTGCATCTCGTAATTAACCACGGTGCAGCGAGAGAGTCCAGGCAAAAGGTCTTTCTTTTCTCCCAATTTGCCGAATTCAAAAGCACCTCAAGTGACACAGCTCACATTTTCCAAATTAAACTTGGCCCTAGGGTTGAAATCAGGCACATGACAGATCAGCTCTACAGAAAATCTTAAGAGAAAGTTGTGCATAGGGGAAAAAGGAGGAGGGGGGAATCAGAGGGAAAAGGGGTAGTAGTTTACATTTAAGTGGTTTTTCAACCTCACCATTACCCCTGCTCAAGAAAATAGGACACAGATGGGCAAAACAAGCCATCATTTTGTCCTGAGAGTCAAAGAAACTCATTAGAAACGACTATTGTTTCCTCACAATCTACTGTGAATTTGTAAGAAACAAAATTATTGATTTTTTTTCTTTGCTACATCCCACAGCAGCTACTGATCCCTAATGTCATGGCATGGAAAGTGGAAGGTTGAGTCACAAAGACAGTGTGCCACTGCACCCTAACACTTGTTGACATAATTCTTCAAGGCTGACTTTTCCCAGGGAGTTGAGAAGTGATTAGCTTTTCATTGTCACAGACTATTTGGGTTTGTAAAAACAGTTTCCAACAGGAATAATAACCCAAAACTTTCTCTTACTTCTGGCTACAGCTCCACACTCGTCCACTCCAACATCAGAGAGAGGGTAAATGGGGATCAGGTCCACTGCTCCCAGGCAAGGGTGGACTCCCTCTTGAACCTCCATGTCTATGGCTCGGAAGGCCTCCAAACAGGCAGCCAGAACACAACTGCCTAAAAATGTGAAATTGTAAAAAAAAAAAATCATTAAACTCTCAATTGTTTCTAAAGAAGAAGTTATGATTTTATTGTTCCACTAGCTGTTCTTTTGTAATCTGTACTAAAGGTTTGTTTTCCATCAAAATAAATAACTGAAAAATAAAAGATTCAACATTTCCCCTCACCCCACCTCCCAACCATCATATACCTTCATATTTCTTCCCAAAAGCTGAAGAATTATGCAATGTTTATTGGTCTTAAACAATTGTTACTTTCTTATAGTAGGTAACTTTTATTTTCTTCAATTAATCTGATAAAATTCCTTTTAATTTCCAGAATGATTTTTAAGTAATTATATTAAAATATAGAAAAAAATTCATAAAACTTTAGAAGCACAGTTTTGTTCTTATCTAGTAATTAATTGAATTATTATATCTAATACATATTATAGACACCTGAGAGTTTTTTTTATTATTCTGAGTTTCCATTAGCAGTACAATATGATCATTTCCACTGAGAAAAATGAAGATTTTACATCTTATGTTATGTAACAGTCAAGATAATCAGTTTTATGCTTGCAGGAAGTTAGTGGTTAGCTCTTCAAACTTCAAGAAAACATACTTTTGAAAGAAGACAATCTTCCAAGTTGAAGATAAGTTTATTTGAAAATATTGTGGGTCCTTTACCAGGCAATATTAATATAACATGTGGGCTGGGGATATAGCTTGGTTGATAGAGTGCTTGTCCTGTATGCACAAGACACTGGGTTCAATCCCCAGCACCACACACACACACACACACACACAAAGAAAAATAAATAAATAACATGAACTTTTGTTCACAATTGTGATTCTTCAAATTCAAAAAGTTGTCCTACCAAACCCTACACTATCCCTATGAGACATGGAGCCCATTTTGTTTCAACCTATGGTTCAACTAAAGATTTCAGGCTACCAACCCAAAACACAACTGCTTAGTATATTTCATTCCATTGGTGTCAACTTGAGTGACATCAGGCTGACTTTAAAACTATTACTACGTAAGTTAAACCCTGAATGTATTAACCACAAAAGACAGGTGATCATCTTCAGCAAAAGGATGTTACTAAATCTTAGGCCAAAAGGTCCACTGTAATAAAGCAGAAACAGAAAGTTTTCGAGATGTACTCAAAGAAAGGATAAAATGAAAATTGGGGGTAGAAGCCTCACTGAATGGAAGGAAGTATGCAAATTTACACAGGAAATCAGTAATTAAGGAAGACACCTGAAGCCTACCCTTCACCAAAAAAGATAAATATGTAAAAACAAATTAAACTCTTACCCAACTTATCAACAGAAGCTGCAATTGTAATAACTGATCTGTTGTAGTCTTGATCAGAAAATATATTGAGCACTGATACTTCAGGATGTTTTCGCCCTGTAAAGATAATGTCAAAAAAATGCATAATTTTTTTCTATAATGAATCTTCATACTTATATTCTTCTGATATAATTAAATTTAGTCTGGTGGAAAAAAATCTGGGATGGGAGCTTTGAGACACTCTTAAGAATGAAATCATGAGTAGTGATGTCTACTTCTTACAGCATCTTACAGTATAACCAGACGGTTAAGCTCAGACATAAGTGTTTGATGTCTGAGAGACATTTGCTTGGACTTGTTAAATGAATTTGCAGAAGTTTTCTTAACTCATCTAAGAAGATATTCCCTTCAATCAATGGTAAAATTATATCATTCTAAATTTTCCCCTTATCAAGCTTATCTTCTAGGCCTTGTCAATATTTCCTTCCAAAATACAGAAACCAAATTGTCTGATCAAGTTGTGAAACATGGAAAAACTAGTGACAGGCCAATTAATTCATAGATCAGAGGTCTCTAGTGTGCATACACCTGTCCATTAGAATCTGTTCTGACTCCACCATCTCCTTTCTAGAGGCCACCAACAGCTTTCAGATGTTAATGACTTCCAGCTTTTGGTGGCTTATGACTCACTTGAATGTGTAACCTGGAGGAGAAAGCTGCCATGGCAGCCATACATAAATTCAAGTTATTTTTGAAGTTTACAAGCCTGGCCTAGGCTCCTTAAAACTCCCCCTAAAGCCTACAAAAGCAAATTCAAAGTGAAGGACAAAAGTTTTTAGGCAGTAATTAAACCTTTAGCTATGCTATTATACCTTGTCCCCCTGTCTCCTGGCAGCTTAACAACTAATCTTTTCAGAGAAAAGGAAAAAGAAGTTACACCCAGGAACTACAGCTTACAGCAGCCCTACACTATTAATTTTAATAGCATGAGAAGATAAACATATGTCACTTACTTAGAGTCAAACAAGCACCTATAGAGAACCCTGCCCTGGTGTAGGTCTAAAATTTATAACTCAGGTTCCTTTACCTAAGACCTTTTTGGGTCATTTAAATGTGCTCACATTGCTTAATGAGAAAAAAAATAAAGTTTATATAGTTTTATTCCACTCGCTTAAAAGTAAATGCCTTTAAATTATTTGTAAAACAACAGGTTGACTTTCTTAACTAGTGCTACCTGCCCTGCATTTTTTAAACTATAAAAGATGAGACAAGAACAAAATCATGCAATCTCCTATTTTATCTAGTTTTTCAACATACTTTAGCTCCTGGAAAAAAAAAAAGAAATGATTTATTTTTTTTTCTCATCCTAAATCATCTTCTGAAAGGCTTTTATTCTCAGTTTCATATGATTCAATTGAATCAAATGCTGAAAGAATGAAACACTCTCTCCTGCAATTTCTTAAGCACGCATATAGGGAAAAAAATGAGTGCTGGCAGGAGGAGCTGTCAGTATGAATCTCAGCGGAAGTAAATTGTTTGGGATTTGTAATGGAGTATAATAGCTATAATTCCATTTGAGCGGCTGCCACTAATAAGCTGATAAAAACTTCGAGTTGAGACCCAGGCATCCATCAGTGTGTGCTTCCACAAATGTCTCTTACATTCACTCAATCACAGACACAGGTAACCCACTCCCATTAGATGTACTGTTTCTGACAATGAAGAGCCTAAGCTGGCTCTTTCCCACAAAGAGCGTGCAAAAAACAGCTGCACACAGACTCCAAAGGGGTTTTTAAATCAGCAATTATCAGGAATTTTCAGAGACATTTCCAGCTCCTCAAAGTTGTAAGACAGTAACTTAAATGTGCTCCTAGTTACGGATGGGTTGGAGAGAAACACTTCTTTCTCATGAAAACCACATCAAAAATGACAATCATAAATCAAAATGTACTGTTGCAAATGCTTTAGGACTGTGACCCTAATGCTCACCTGTTGCCAAAAGGCTACTGACTTAGTAAAAAAAAGCATTTATATTTAAATAATTGTAAGTTTGTAAATACCATGGCTTATATGTAAAAGCAAAAATAAATGGTATCTAAATCATGTGTCATCACATGAACATTTTATGAAGGGTGGAAAAAAAAAACATAGCAGTATCTCTCATAGTAATATGGTCCTAGGAAGTATGAAGGCTTGTTTCTATGTTTATTTTGAGGTTATTTATTTATTTGTACCAGGGATTGAATCCAGGGGCACTTAACCACTGAACCACATCCCCAGCTCTTTTTTGTATTTTATTTGGAGACAGGGTCTCATATTGAGTTGCTTAGGGCCTCACTAGGTTGCTGAGCCTGATTTTGAACACAAGATTCTCCTGCCTCAGCTTCTCAAACTGCTGGGATTATAGGCCACCATGTCCAGCAGAGTCTTCTATCACCAAATTTCTGAGTGACCTTATTTGCATCACTTAAAGACAACTGCCTAATAGTTTTTTTTTTTTTTTTCCCAGAGAATGGATTGGAAATAATAATACTGTAAGGCTCTGCTGGCAGGAGTGCTTTGAAGGTGGTTCATGTTTGGCCAGTTTATTTTCTATTTAATCTGCTAAATAAAAATCATAATGTATTACTATGTTATTTTATTAATGATCAAATAAAAGGTCCATGAAAGAAGCATTAAGCTTTTATGTAAATCTGTCCTGAACAATTCACATCTCAGAGAATCATGCAAACGTAGAGGTACATTCCTGAATGTATGCAGACATTTAAAAAGAATATCTGTGCACATCTGAGTAAGTGATTTATCTCAGCAGCCTGCAGTTACTTCAGAGGAAGCTGTAACAGCTCAAGACCAAAGGCAGAATTCTAGAAAGAAAGTAGATGTTGAGTACAAAAATGACTATCATCGAAACACTGCAATATCCATTTCAACTGTTTGTTGTTCCTACCATTTTTTTCAAGAGCTGCTTTTGCTATGTTCTCAACAATGTATTTTCTTCTGGCTTCTGAAATGTTTAGTAAGCAGACAGCCAAACGGGACCCCAGTCTGGAGGAGGACATGATTTTTCTGGAATTAAAAAAAAAAAAAAAATCCTTTATTTCAGTCTCTAGACCTCATTCATATTTTCATGTTCATTAACCATAAAAATCACATCTTTTTAGAAACCTGGCAGTCAGAATGTGAACACTTCACTATTTCACATTCCTAGAAAACATTTAAAGAAAAAATTTTCAGAATCCCATGTGCATCATTCATATGAACATGGTCACACAATTATGAACATATGAACATAGTAACAACCCTGTAAATGCCTGGCAAATTAGTCTGGACTCTGTTATATAAAGGAAACTTTCTCATTCAAGTAGGTTATTTCATTTAGGCATGATCTTCCTTAGCTTATCCCTTTTTTCCAGGTCTGTAATATTTAACAAATAGGCAGGATCCTTTTATAAAACTAGAAAATCTAGATTTACTAGGGAAATGCAGAAAAGGGGAATGAGGAAGACTAGTATTTTTTAATATGACAATTTTTGTAAAAACTGTTCCTGTTGAAGAAAAACAAAGCGCATATCCACAGGTCAGGCCATGGACATTATACAGTCAAGAGGCCCATTTGGGCTCTATGAATGACAACTATTTGATTAACTAAATTCCTCCTTGTTCTTTGACCTCCAAAGTTTCTACATCAGTTTAAAATTTTTTCACAGGACTGTACTTTGAACCAAAAGATGATGCAGATTCTGGTACATGTGACTCAACAATGCCAAAAATGTGATTGATCTTTTGTTGAAAATGGCTCAATTACACAAGTTTTAGAGGTTGCATTGACTCTAGAATGGCATTTGTCAACTAATCTTTTCACACCTCAAACAACGACATTATGATCTAAAGGAATTAAAACACCTCAAAATATAAGAAAACAATTCCTCTTTTCAATATCTGGTCATCATAACGTTGGCCTCTTTTAAATATCAAAACTAAAAGTTAATGCAGCCTTCACGAATTCATCCGACAAATTTTTGATGAGGGTCATTTTATGTCCTGGAAATGTCTCCATGTGACAACACTCCAGAGAATGGTGTTCAACCCTGAAACAAACAAAACAAATTTAAAACAAAAGAGCTCTGGTACAAATAATGATCTCTCCACAAATAAATGTGCTGTTTTCTGTTCACTAAGATTGTTGGCCTAATCATCTTAACCTAGAAGGATGCAGCACTTCGAAGTTAGTTGAAGTTTGCAGGCAGATTTTCATATTTTGACCATCAGCTCACCAATGCAAATTCATAAAAATAGGATCATTAGGTTCTTCTAGACATTAATAACATTGTTGTAATCGAGCAGCTCAGACCTCTCCCCTTTCTGTGTAAACAAAAACTTGCTTTACACAAGGGTTGTGGGCGTCTTCTGGTTTTCATTTGTTTTCAGTGTGTTTATGTAGCTTAATTGTCTCATCAGGCACTTTCCCAACATAATTATGCTTTTTAACAAATGGTGTTTATGGCAACCCCTAACAGTGCAAAAGAAAGGATTAGTTTCATCCTCTCATTCCACAGTTTGATTCCCTGTGGACAGCTAAATCACACAAAGATGGTGTTAGGAAAATCTACCTTCACAGCAAAAAGTGAAATGTGCGCCAATACAAGGCGTTTCGACAGTTTCCTCTAAGAAAGTGACCCAAACGCAACCCCTCGACCCATCCACTTCATGGTTTGGGATAAGGAGATCCCAGCCCACCGGCCTCTCAGTCACTCTTTGGCGACTTCCGGTGATAGACCGAAAGCTGTCCCAAGAGGAACTAGCAGGGCAAATCCAAATGAAGCAATCCTCCACGGGTCCTCCACAGATCCTCCAAATCCTCCGCCTTGGGCACACGCACCTCCGCACTGGGGGCCCGCGGAGGGCACCGGAGCGCGATCTCCGGTCCAGAGCCCCCAGCGGAGACCACGTGTGCGGTCCTGCCTGGCTCCGGAGCGGGGCGTCCCAGGGTCAGGCAGGCGGAAGGGTAACCCTCGTGGCTGAGCGGCTGCCCACGAGGCCCGCGGCCGGCTGCCCGGGTGGGGCTCCGGGGCCCACAGACACGCTGCCGCTAGGGAGTCCGGAGGGGAACCGACCTGCGCCCGAGGGCAGCGGGGAGCACCGCCGCCGAACCGGAATCGCCGCGCGTGCCCGTCGCGCAGCCTCAGCCGCGGCTCCGCCTCCCCGGCGCCCCGGGGCGCTCCACCCCGCAGCACACCGCCCCGCAGCAGCTCCGAGTCCCTCCCGCCCCAACACGGAGCAATGCGACTGCCAGGGATCCCGCGCTTCTCGGAATTACACGATTCTGTCTTGCAAGTGGGCGACTGTAAAAGGGCATTAGGATCTAAGGATGAGGTCTTTACCCATTGATCGCACACCAGCAGGGGGCTCTTCGCTGGTTCCCTTAGGAGGAGCACACACACCTTCTTTGTGGTACGTTCCCTCCCTCCCGAGACTGACTTCCCCCGAGCGCCGGTGACTGTGAACTGATTCCACCCCCGACAAAAGCAGCACTTGTACATCCCCATTTAGTCAGTTACAGGGAATGTGAACCACGCTTACGCATTTCTTTTTTTCTTTTTTCTGGGCTAGTCAACCTTGAAAACACATTTCTCTTCCCCCCAAAAAATCAGGACCTGTTTCGGGTTGTTTTTATTTTTTATTTATTTTTTTAATGTAGCCAGGATTAAATGTCATCATTTTGATCCAATTTCGCTCCTCAAGTGAAATAATCACTAAATAGCACTTGGACGGAATAAATTAATTTTTAAATCTATTTTTTAAATTTTCTAATTATAATTTTTAAACACAGATTTGAGGAAATTAACATTTTTGTGGACATTTGGTTTCTAGCCTAATGTGGCATAAAAATAAGTAACATGACGAGTGTTAAAAAAAATCAGGTTCACGATGCTTCTCACATCATCATCATTGTACTTAGATGTCACAACAGTATTATGTGCGATTATGTCAGATCCAGCCTTCTCCATCTCGGAGTGTTGGCAGGTAGGAGGGTTGTTGGCAAGAGGAGGGGTGTTAACCTCAGGATCCTGGATTCATTCCAAGGCTGGTAATTACATTCTGCCAGCCAAAATTCATCCCATAATTTTAATTGGATAAATCCTTTCTGGCCTAAGCTACTGCTATGCCTGTCAAACTGTTGCCACATTTCACCCCAGAGGTGTCTGTGTTTTAGTTGCAAGAATCAGTCCCTTTGAGGTTGGCTTATCAGTTTAAATCCTCAAAGTGCTTTGGGATGCTTTGGAATTAAAAATATATTTAGGTATTTTTTAAATATTGAATCTGCATAGAAATGCATGCAATAGATATGCCTAAGAACTGATACCCATCTAATGTCAGCATTCACTAATTTGGGGAGCTTTTCAGCCAGATTTATGTCCCTCACTGTCTTTGTGTTTCCTGTTGAAAGATTGTCTTGCCCATGGCTTTAGCTTCCATTTTCAAAAAAGTAACCACAGTGTCCAAAGTTTCCTTAAATGGTGCGACAAAAAACTGAGGCCTCTTTATTTCACCTTTCTAAACAATCAAATGATAAAACTGCTTTTTAACAGGAGACAGGATGGTAGCATTACATGTGGTCTTATATCCCTCCAGGGAAAACCATGTGACACCTAGGGCTTTTAACTAGCAGTAGCAACTGCCAAAAGGAAAGTGTCTTCCTGCATCTCCTAATCCTCTCTGTGAGAAACTCTCTCACACAGGATGACTGGGGCACTAACATTCTGGAAGCGTCTCTTCACCATTTTGCTCACTTCAAACACAAATGGGTAGAAAGCAGGGCCCAGTGTTCTTTGTGGAAGGCAGCATTTGTCTCCTGCCTGAGGACCACAGCATGTTTTTGGAAAAGACAAGACAGATACTAGTGCTTCCTGTGAGAAGTTTAGCAATAAGATTGAAATTATTAGTTGTGCTCTTCAAGAGTAGAAAGATGGGCTGGGGATGTGGCTCAAGCGGTAGGGTGCTCGCCTGGCATGTGTGCGGCCCGGGTTCCATCCTCAGCACCACATACAAACAAAGATGTTGTGTCCACCGAAAACTAACAAAATAAAATATTAAAAATTCTCTCTCTCTCTCAAAAAAAAAAAAAGAGTAGAAAGATATCACTGGTGTTAGGTTAGCTCTAACACATGGAATCCCGCCCAGATCCTTATTTACAAGAGCTTTATGTTACATTAATAACATGCCCATATTGTCTCTTGTTTTTATTAAACTTAATAATCTTTGGAGGGATATTCAACCTTTTGAGTTAATGAATTACACTGACTCCTAACAACACTTGCTAAATCTACCTTCTGGGCATTAGTGCTTTTGCTCTTTATGATTCCTGTCCAGAAGCAAAGAAGCACTGGAGTAAAGAATAGCTAAAACTTCCCAAGTGTCAGTTACATCAATAGGCATCTGCTGCTTTCCCACTGGTTTCCTTAGAGAATACTTTACCCCCTCCTTTTCACTTTTGTGAGGGGGGAAGAACTTAGGTCTTATAGGAGCTTTTTCCTGGCTTATGTGATCTGAGGAGGATAAAAGAGTCTCCACAAATGTACCTGAGCCAGGGAGTTGACTGAGCAGGACTAGGATTAGGGTGAGATAAGTAAGGAGCTCAGCCTACCCTAGGTGCAAAATCCAACTGGGCGCCAAAAACCTCAGTAGTTTTTAAAATCAGAAATTCATGCAAAAAATAAGAAACATGGTAACAAAGTACCAAGATTTTCAATAAAGATAGGTTCCTCCCTGATCTTGTTCCTCAACTGAGCCTCACCCTGATCTCAGCCCCATGGTTGTGTTCCCCTTTGTGCCAGTTTATTTTGGATTGCAGGACTAAGAGGAAACTGACCCACTCCATTCTGCCTAAAACCAAATATGTCAAGGTAAAACTTTCCAGACCAATGGAGACATATAGTTTATAATCTGTTCAAGAGTTTCTAGACTGCCATAAATTGGAAGCAGTCAACTGATTTCCAAAGAAGAGAAACTCCCATTAGAATAAGCAGAAGAATCAACTTTACTTACCTGATACATTTCAGTACATGGTAATTGGGTTTCCTATCATGATGAAATTTTGAAATGTTTTGAAGAATATCTCTAATTAATATTACATATCTATGTTCATATTCTAGCATTTTTCAGAGTTCAGGAGAACCTGAGTAGAGAATTACTGTTGAAAAGACAGAATTCCCTAATGTAACATTTTTTTTCAGAGATTTCACTTTCATCATTTTTTACACTAAATCAGATTTGATTTCTACCATCTTCTTTCTTGTGAGTTTAAATTATTTCATGTGATATTATGAAATATATGTTCTATTAGTCATTAGCTAAAATAGCAAATGGGTTTCATTGTTGCCATTTTTACTGTAGTGGTGGAAGCTGTGCTATTCATTTATTTTAAATGAAGAAAAATAACTTGATGTCCAGAAAGATGTTACAGTTACTACTAGAAATACGTCCATTACATATATATATATATATATATTCCTTAATTATGAAAACCATATCTAGCTACTTTTGTCTTAATGAAGGAGCAGGGGAAACTCTACACAATTTCCAGAATTAACTGTTTTTCACTTTAATATTCTGGAAATATCTTTACCTTTATAGATTGTGCAATGGATTACCTTTGCACAATTCCTCTGGTCTACTGAGCTGTGTCATGAAAAACTAGTAGAGAAGAATGTCAGCATACTGATTGGCTTAAATTGAAATTACTTGTTATATATCCTATTCATGAACAGCTGGAACATCTCAGGTAATAAGCCAAAAGTTAAATTCTGTCATCTGCCCATCTCTTAATTCTTTCCTTGCCTTACCTTCCACATGGTCATTTGGTTACCCTTTTCTTTATTATGGAACCAGACATTGAATAAAATGTTTTTTTTATTACTGTTAGTTATAGTGCAGATTTTGAAAATCAATTCCTAAAATAGACTTTGAATTTTTGCTGAAAATTTTGTTTTAATTTATGGGACTGCACTTAGATTATTTCTAAAGTTATTATAGTTTACAAAATGTATCATTGTATTCAGAAAACTGCTGGGAATGGTTAGACATTGTCCTCTGAATTTTTGTTGCATTGTGAGGTTTTATAAAGAAATATTTACTTAAAAATTTCAACCAATGCTGGTGACTGCCAGCTTTCATTAAGAAAGATACATGTCATGGCAGTCAGTAGCATCCAGTCATGCTCTGAACTTATAGGCAACTTTGTACTATTGTTGATGCTGCTATTTAATACTCATAGGTATATACAAATGAATATCAACTGTTATTGACACCAAAAAGGTAAGGAATATACTGTGTGCACAGAAATCAGCCACCCTGAACAGAAGCAGTCTTGTCTTCATTCAGATCTGTGTTCAGAGGCATCTCTTGTTTTGAAAGGGAGCCTTTCTGGAAAGAACCAGTCCTGGTTCTTACTGCTCTTAAAATCTGCTCTTAAGGCACATTTCAAGGTCTTTCTCTGCAGAACATTCAGACTGAAAGTTTAGATGAAGGTTTTTCATGCTAGTTTGTTTGTCTTTTACTACATATCTTAGTGTTTGAGGATACTTAACTTTTAAAAATGTACCTTTTTATCACATGTAAATAGAAAATGTCAAATGTATTAGGAAGGAGTGGAAAAGATAAATACTTTGGTGCTGATGTTTTTAATGTTTTCTGTATCCTACCTTGTGCTTCTCAGACATTATTCAACTCTTAAGTTGGAATTCTATGCTCATAGAAACATTTGAAAATAAAAATTCCTAGGCCCTCAGGCAGAAGGGATTTAGAGATCATCTGGTAGCTCCTCAAAACCCTTCATTCAAGTGATGCCTCACCTAAAGCAATAGAGATGCAAGCAGAGCTTCTAAGGGACCAGGTGGTAAGGGTAAGCAGTTGGGGTGTCCCTGTAGTTCAATATTTTCCCCACTTCTGCTTTTTCCAAGATCCCTTCCTGAACCCTAAGGTGCCTTTGAAAACCACAGAATTTTTTTTTTTGGCCTTAAACCCTTTTTAATAATCTGATAGAATGTTTTCATCTTTTAAAGATTAACCCTGGGGCTGGGGTTATAGCTCAGTGGAAGAGTACTTGCCT